TGATCTGGCCACCATATTTTCAGAATTCTACTTAGATACTTGTTGACAAACACTTGCATCTTTCCATCTAACTGTCTGGAGTACAAGCACAGCAGTAGCACAACAACAGATTCGCAGGTTAGTCTGAATCCTGAGTTCAATGGATCGCATATGTTGTTAAGTTTGCCAAATACGACTTTCGCTTTGTTGATCCGAGCATCAACATCTACATCAGGTCCGCTCTTATTTGCCACAATGCTTTCAATGTAAAAGAGTTTACACATTCAATTTCTTCTCTACCTTTTCTATCCGCTCTCCATGTTTTTAAAATATTTATTTATATATTTGTTTTTTATTTTTTCTACATAAAATATCCAAACATTTTTTCAAATGACTTCAAATTTTTTCGATGTAAATCTTTAATCTCTTTACCATGTTTTGGTAGTTTGTGATCCACAATTTTTAAACATTCTTCACAACTTTATTTAATATTTCCCTCATCGGTTACCAGTGGGAGAAAAATCTTTGAGTACCTTCTCATATATAGTATATTATGCTTTTCGAAGAACTAAATGAAGAAGATTTTGAACGTTATCTTCAAATCAAAGTGAATTGTTCATCCCAATATATCGGAAATTAAACGCAGAACATTATATGGAAGTTTTATGGCGATTGTGGGTCAAAATTTGACGAGTATAACCGGAACACTTATTAAATTTCGCTTATCAATAATGAGCCATTGTGCAAAGTCATCGTGGTACGTGATTTTATCAACTAAAAAGCCATCACTTTTACGTTGTATTTAATTGGTTTGGATCTTTATGATTTTCAGTCATTTTACAAACCGAAATTGATAACGAAAGAAAGGAAATAGTTTGAATAGCCACCTAAAACACTAGTACCAATATGCAATAGACAGTTATGGCCACTAAGAAAAACAAAATATATCTCGAAGAATTTATTTAACGTTTTTAACGCTATTTAGGCTTACTTTGAAGAGCTAGTCTTCTGGTCAGCAGACTTAAGACACTACCGATTTTTGAAATATGTGATAGTTGATAGGCTCTTATAAAAGAAAATTATTCTATTCAAGTTGAAATCAATTTCTCTAACTTTCAAGTAATCCAATCGAAAAATAATACTCGTGAATAATATTTAGGCTCAGAAGTAGCATTAATTAAATGCAAAAATTTTATTTATTTCCATAAATACCATAAAAGCTGCGATTATTAAAACACTTTTGAATCACTAAAATATTTATTTATTTTTAAAAATTTTGTTAAACTTTATTCTCATTTAAATCAACGTTTATTTTGATTTGAATTTATTGATGAAATAAATTTCTCATATATTTTTTTTTGGCAGCTGATTCCGAATGTTAATAACCTACAAATATAAACAACCACTTAAGATGCGTTAAGAAGTATCTACTTCATAATCAGGTTAAGCTTTATTATGCTTTTTAGCTACTTTTCTATCGCCAAATAAAAATGCGAATAAAGCCAGTTGAAATTTTGTAGATAAATTGAAGTTGAAAGGTGCATAACTTTTTAGACAAAATTATGTTTTGTATAAAATTCAAAAAAAAACTGTACACTGCAAGTAAAAAGTATAAATTCAGCTTTTAAATGATATTAAAATTTGAGAGAAACTTCATATCAGTTAATTAAAATATATTTTGTTTAGAGTTTTGTTACTACTACTTAATACGTATATGTTCCCGAAACTTTTTACTCACATCAAGTATAAATTCCAGATGGTGGAATTTATACTTGTCTTGAATTTCCTAAAGGCTTATGGTTCTCATTAAGAAAACTAAAAAACTGACAGACAAAAAAACAAACGAGTCAACTAACGGAAAAGAGTCTAATTGAAGTGATATGTAATGCTGACTACTACTATTTTACGTAATATCTTTGACGATTAATTTTCAAGTAATTTTAAGATATTCCCATGATATCACTTTTCGGATGAAGAAGATGCTAGAAGACGTGTTAAGGGTTCACACACTAGGAAGGCAGACAGACATATAGACAGGATATCATCTTCGGCAGTTAGGCAGAAAGACTTGATATAGAGTATGATATATGACGTGATCACTTATATCTTTATTCCATTGATCAACGTCATGCCCTTAAAGATGTTAAATGCACAATATTAGTTGTTACTATAAGCATTAAGTACGTCATACCATTGGCCATTTGAATTATAATTAATTAAATATTACTTTAAATATTTTTATAAATCTACATTAAAATAATAGGTAGCTTTGACTTCATATGAGTAATAATCATCAGTTTAAGTCTTAATATACTTATTAGACCAAAAAATATTAAAAAAATTAGCTAAAGAAATGCCATTTGCAAAGTGTTTGATGACGGTAATTTTGACTTGATTTGATAATAAAAGTTATAGAAAATCGCAATATCGGGATAGATTGAAATTTCTGAGTAATTTTGATGATTTAGTTAATGCAGATGAGATTGTTGTATTAATACATTTTCATAAAGTTATACGAACTAAACTCAGAGCATCGATTAGTAACTCCACTAGTTTAAAAATGAATTTTGATAAAACAAAAGTTAAGAAAATGTATATAGTTTTCTTATACGAGTAGTTAAATAGTAAATAAATTTTAGTTGAAATCCAGTTCATGTTTATAGAAATATTGATAACATATTATATTATATACTAAAAAATAGTTTTATTATTTATACTGCAAAAGACTTTAAAATCTGCCCTAATTCCTGGCAGTGAAACATAGCTTATGCTGAGAGCAATAATATACAAACTGCAAACATTTTATCGCTATTTTTAAACAGTTTTAAATATCTGGTAGCCAAAGCAAACCTCTAATGAAAGCTATTAGCATGTGAAAAATACGATAAGAATAAAAAAATACCATTAATACAATTTAAATCAATGGTGTTCAGTTAAAACAACATGAAAATCATTAAGTTCTTTACAACAATTGTAAAAACTGTGAAGATCATGGAGCTTATAAGACCCTTATAGTAAAGGTACATGAACTTCGGTTAAAATTTGAAAATTCAGTAAAATCGCTTAAATAAATTTGCATTGAAATATAACTTAAATCTGCTTAAATATATATGAAACGGACAAAATTTTTTTTTCAATTCAGTATATTTCATAATAGGTGATAACAAACCCTAAACAACTGTGTTATAGGCGTTATAACTAGTTGTCGATAATATAATTCTAGTCCATCTTCTGTTGGGATGATCGTATTGTCAGTATAGCTAAGTGAAGAATTAAAAGTGTGTCAGACATTATGCTTAATATGTTCACCATATAGATAATTTTTTGCTTTCTTATCGTTGATTATACATATGATGACTATTAAATGTAAATTTCATGTTAGAAATACATTTTGTATGGAATTGCAAAAACAACTACCTTGTATGAAAAATGCATTTTATATTTTCGTTTTAAATATATTCGGCAGCCAGTGTCAGTTATTTATGATTTTTATATTTATAACGCAAAAGTAATAGTTATTTGTGCATTTTAAAATAAAAAGCAGAACTTTAAGAGTTATTTGTGCGCGAAAAAATAAAAGGCACATAAAATAATTATTTTTGAGGAATATAATATAAAAGTAAATTTAATTATTATTTTTGAGTTTTATTTTAAAATGCAAATGATAATAGTTAAAAGCTGTTTCACTTTTTTTATTATAACTGCTACGGTCCTTGGTTATAATTGTTATCTACAACATTTTTTAATATTCGAAGTTTTTAATCTCCGCACTGCGGACTACGGACTGTCTAAAGGTTTGTGTCATTATCATTATTAGTTCGTAAAATATCTCTACGTTATTGTCATTCACGATATTTTGGTAGCGGTGGATACAAACTAAATTGTATATTTTTTGGATCCGCAGTACGTTTTGGGTTGTGAAACTCTGGTCTGTAAGAAAGATGAAGATGAAAGCTATATTTAGTTATTTGTTATTTAGTTTCAATTCAATTTAAAAGATTGATCGAATCATGTAAATTCTATGTAATAAACACAGACTCTATAAACCACCTTTTTATTGTATTATTTACATAAATCTGATATAAATTATGTTATCCGTTATAATTCAAATTTTTCTCACATTAAACTATAGGTATTGATGCAAATAAGTTGTATTTAGAGGAATTTTTGCATATCTCTGAGTAATTCAAAATTCCATTAAATAAATTGTTGTTGTGCATAATTGAAAGACGAATAGTATCTTTTTTTTTATTATTAATTCTGTGTTTATGATTTTATTTTATTTAATTTTATTAAATATTTTTTAATTTATACGGATTTACGCCTTTAGCATATTTTTGATTTTATACACTTCGAATTAGATACTTTTAAGTATCTTAAGTTCAAGCAAAACTTTCAGAGTTTCAAGAAGGTTGTTGTTTCGTATGGTTTTGTATCTATAAATGAGGCTGTGTGATTGCCGTATTTCAGATGACGACGTACAGATGTTGAAATTGTAAAATTATTGCGATGAGGTAATCATTATTTATTTTACAAATTGTTTATAAATTTTTTTTCATGCAAGAAAAATTGCTTTTGCAATCTGATGTTCAGATTGATTTGTTAGTAACAATTGAGAAAAGTATTGTGAATAGGTGTAGCAAATTTAACTTCCTCCGTTTGGGATTATGATAAGTATAAATCATTGTTTGTTAATGAGCTTTCGGCACAAATTTGTATATTTCATACTTTGTGTTTATACACTATAATAAAGATAAAGTTGATAATATTATTATATAAATTAAAATTGTTAGTTGGTGGTTTTAGGTAATTTATACATTTGTGCCACTGTGCCGCTGATAGCTTAGAATTGTTAAGAGAGATTTTGCAAGGTATTTTGTATGTTGAGGTTTTTTTTGTTTATAACTATTTTTTCTGTCTGTTATTTTTTACTTTGTTAATAATTTTTTTATCGGTTGACGCTTTGAAAAATTTGCTTATTTGTCATCGACGCACAACGGCTTCGACATAAAACTAAATACAAAGTCTTACAAGCCGCTCAGTCGTCAACATTTCACTTTGGCTGTAGGAAGCATAAAAACGGAGTTACAAGATTCTTAGAACCAATAAATTTATTTGTAAAAAAACCGCAAATTCACGGCTTAATAGTATTAATAAAAATTATTAGCAACAAAAACAAAATCAAAATCGAATAAAAAAAAATAAAATCTTTAATTAATTTTCTTGTAATTTTTGGCAACCAACATGCAAAGCTGTCAACAAGTTTTGGTAAATTCCGAATTTGATTAAAATTAATTAAAATCGTTTGGTTCATAAATCAAATTTAATTAGTGTTTAAAAATAATAATGTGCTTGTGCTAATTATGTGCCTTCAATTATTTTACAGTACTTGACTTTATTGTTAACCTTTTGTATTATTGGTACATATACCGCACCCACTGCTGAAGCTGAAGCATCTGCCGAAGCTGAAGCAAAGCGTCGCACAAATGAACCACAATTTGTGGTGATTTCAGAGGATGTCATACCAGATGTGGAGAACACGACACAAAAGGTCATACGTGTAAATCCATTGGATTTACCATCTGTTAAAGATGACCCCTCTGGCAATATGGACTCGTCTTTGTTCAAAATTCAATCATTGCAGCCGTTCTACCGCAGTTACGTAAACTCCAAACGACTACGTAAGCCACGTCCATTGGAATTAAATGCAGTCACTGATTCACCCATACACCGTGAGGTCAAAGCGCGCAAGCAAAAGCAACAACAAAAGCAAAAACATTTGCACTTTTTGTACAATCAAGCAAATGGCTTGGAAGATGGTGAAGTGCTGAGTAAAACAATGCGTGTGCATCTCGCGCCAGGCGCTTATCCAGTGTATTATGCTGTGGCCAAAGTGAATGGTCGATTTGGAAAGTTTCCTATTAAAGACTTCAGTAATGAAGCTGATTTTAGAAAATACCTACAACGTCTTAAGTTCCAACCAATTGAGTTTTCTCAACGATATCAAAGCTAGAAGTGTTCTCTACTTGAATGTGCTGAACTAAATGTGATTGATTTAATTTAAACTATTCTACCTTATTTATTTGAATTTAATTTTATTTATTTTTATTTATTTAAAAAATTCAAGCATATTTAAAAATGCTTTAAAAACTCACATAAGTGCCAATAAAACTTGTTTAAAAAAATTTGAAAAAATTATTTTTATATAAATATAAAATTTAAGTGGGGAATTTTGGTATTCGAAGAGCCTCGTATTAATAATTTGATGAAGTAGAAAATTATTTTGTATTTAGAAAAAATTACTTTGAGTAATTTTTTTATATAATAATTAATTTTAAAGTTAAATAATAGTAAAGTTTTATAACTTACTATAAGATGTTGCTAACTACACTCAGACTTATGTTTGATCTTTAAGATATAAAAGTCGTTAACACTGAATAAGCAGAGATTAATCGAAAGACTATGAATGTTCAGATAAGACAAAAAAGTTTTTTTTTGCAGTTATTTTAAAAGCTGGCAGAAACGAAAGTAATTAATTAAATTAATAATTAATGAAATTATAAGTCATCGTTCACGCTGTAGTAAATCACAGGTACTTAAGCTGTTTGTAATGTGCTGAAGCAGACTTTAGAGGTCACATAAATCATATGTATTTCTTATTATAATGCGAAGGCGATTAGATTTTGTCCATTTGTCTCGTAGTCTAACAATGTAAAAATTAAGACCGCAGATATTGAACTAGTTTAATTAGGCAAGTGTATAATATTTGACTCAGAATTATTTTTTCACCATATAAACTAATTTTTGAAAACGGTTGCACGTTCCTAGATTTGAATTCGACTTATTTTGAAAAGTGAAGAAGAAAAAAAATATATGTGTTTATATATAAGTAAATATATACTTTTTAAATGTGGATCTTAAAAAGTAAAAATGAAGAAAAACATATGTGCTTTTTTTAAAATATATTTATAATTACATTCATTTATATATCTTGAGTCTTTTCCGAGTTATTCCATCTGGACACTTTTACTCTTTGTTAGCTAGGGGATTTCTGCAGAGTCCCCCCCATCTCACTGACTAATTTGTGTATTCCTCATAAGTTTCATGATTATTCAATGACTATTCTAAGATTTGCATACCGCCCAGTGCGTTTAGTGATTATTTTGAGTGATAAGTAGGGCAGTCTGTCGATTTTCGCATATAGCTTATAAATATATTAAAAGTAATCGTAAAGCTCTGGCAAGATAAACAAATTATTAATAATATTAACAATGTATAATAATATTAAGCTCTTCACTTCGTTCTAAAATAGATTTCGATCTCAGAATCTTTAAATAAGTCTATTACCGATTCCAATCACATCTCAATGTCATACGAGGTGCATGACTAGCCCACAACAATCTTTGGAACTTGATTTTAAGTATCTGTTGAAACTAAAGTAATTCATTGCAAAAATGAAACATATTTGAGCTCGATCTTCCTGATATATGAAGCTAATAAATCTTCACTGTTTTTTTCTTTCCAAACGTGGTTAAGAGATCAGGTTGCTCTTTGCTTAGTGCCTAAATTTCTAATATTTTTCTGAGAATTGTTTGGAGAATAGTGGTCTTATACAGTAGGGTTTTCGATATAGTGGCATAGTATTAGAACATAAAGTAGCTTCGCAAATTGTAAGATTTTTGAGATAAGCAGCCGTCTGCAGATTTCTTTATCCATGTTATAGTCAGCAGCTACTGTATTTTTAACTGTATTTTTAAAGGAGCTCGTTTCAATTTAATTTTAGCTATGATATTCATATGTAGAAAACTTTATATGTTTTATTATATTTCAATCAAGTTAAGTTAGAGAAAAAAATTTGTTAAGAATAATAATTTAATAGCATTGTTTTGTGAACGGCGTAAATACTTAAGGGATTTGTACAACACCGTTGTATAGAGGATCTGCTGACCTATAAAAAATAAGAGTTTGAACCATAATAAATTATAAAAAAAAATTTTATATTAAATACATTAATCGAAATATTCACTTCAAATTTATTTTTGTAGTAAAATCTGTATTTGATTATTTTGTTTTACAGTTAACATACCCTATATATCCCGCATTTATGAAGAGTAAATTATAGGTAAGACACGGAACTAGAGAGTCACATCTAGTCACACATATATACACCAAATATCGAAGTAGACAGTGGATATGTGTTAATAAACGTAATTATAAGCAACTTACCTACAAAAATTTTTCTCATGCAGACCATGGAAAAATTTCGCTTATTTGAGGTCAGCAATCTCTACTCTATGATTTTCACAATTCGTTGGTAAATTCTTCTTCACTATTCTATGATTTTATCAGCTGTTCGATTTACATACTTTTACTCGCCTGGCAGTAGTTTTCCCGATTACATGACCTTTTATCTGATTTCAGTGACACTAATGCCATTTCTTCTGATTTGATAATATCGATGCGGTGCAGGATTCCACTTCAAATATTTCTCAAAATATTTCGGTGAAGTGAAATCCATTGTTTCCTTTGTCGTTCCAACTCGGTTGCAGTGGCCGTGTTCGTAAACTTTATATGCAATAATTTGTCTTTGATTCTCAAAACTATTTCGTCTTGTTTTTCGTCTTAAAGCTCTAGCTTTAACTACCACCTTCGTGCTTTGTCTTGTTTAAATTTAACTCTCTTTTGTTCCCACTTCTAAAAAAGTATTAAAATAATCTGGCTTCTCACAAGTTATACTATAATCACATACTTATCATATTATTAAGTTAGTATTATAACTTTCATTATTGTGAAGTTCGCTAGTATACAGTTAGTATTATATACTATTTTCAGAACTCTCTTTCTTCTTCTTATCTTGTTTTACATCGTGTAAGGAGTCTTGCAGTTTGAATTATTTTTGAACTTAGTTTGGTCTTTTACTTCGTCATATTTTTAATAAAGTAAACTCGTAAAGTTTTTGTATTAAGTTTTCTTAAATCCTTTTTTTATATATGATTCATTATTTGGAATTGGTGGACTTTAAATTTTTGACTTATTATTACATCTCTGATAAAATGATACATTCTCGCCTCTTATGATTAAAAAAAAATTTTTTTTTGCTCAGTAATATCAAGTTTTATATTATAGACATCTCTCTCAGTTTTATTTTGTTGCTTGCACTAAACAATAAGATACTCGTATATATAATTGAATCATTGGATATATGACAGTTTCAAGTCTTGTACTTAAATATTTTTTAACGTATTATATGAGCTTTGTAATAAGCATTTGAATCGATATAAATGATTTAGGCCGTGTGCGAGTTCCTGTAAATTGATGGTAAATTGATGGAGATAGTAATTTATATTGGTATGGCAGCGAATGTTGGTATTTACCAGAATTAATAAATAAATGAATAAATTTAAAAATTTTTAGTCAAAAACAATAAATAAGTGCAATAAATAAATGAACAAATATTTACATAAGTGCAGTGCCAAAAATCCATAAATAATTTCAATTTACTTTTCTTCAATTTACTCGAACTCGCACACGACCTAAAGAGTTTTTGAGTCAAGATTTTATAATAAACACAATAACTGTAAAAATGATTGAAATATATAAATGTTGAAAAGGCATTTAATTCTTAAAGACTATGATTTTTTTTACCTCAAATTTCTTCCTCTTATTTAAAACCAGAATACCAAAATCTGTTACAAAATATTTAAAATACACTACACTTAAATGTAAGAAACTCTGCTATAAACCTATTTACTAATCCAACTAGTGTTTAATAGTTCATTTAGGGTAATTACATTCAACCTTAGTAAATAAAAATGTATCTTATAAATGTATTTATATCTACGTTTAGAGTATGATTTTTAATTGAGGTAAACGAATAAGAATTAATCATCATATCTTAAGTAGACTCAAGTAAACGATAATCGTGTCGAAGTTAAATGTTAAGAGCGTTAGTCAAACTTTGGCATAACCCAGAGACTAATGGTTCTAAGAATTAAATATGTATTTGCGTTCTTCGTCTGCGTATATTAAAAATTTATTTTTAACGTTCATAAACAAAAATTTAATAAATTTAATATTAAAAGAACATACTTTATAGCAATTGTTGCTTCAGAGTATTAAGTTTTTTCTTTATTGAATTCAAAATATTTTTATTGTGATTCTTAAGAATAATTTAATAATAATCATTAACGAATATTCTCATTGTTTTTATTATTTCTTTTTTCGTAATAAAAATAGTTTTCGTTATGATATAATATAATAAAAAAGATATGTAATTTTTTAATTTAAATTTGTATAGAAGACAGTGGCATTTTTATGGTGTTTACTTTTTTATTATCATTTCCAATCTTAATGCCAATAGAAAGCTTTGAGATACGGGAGTATATTAGCATTTATAATATATATATTTATTATTATTATCTTATTATATATGTATTTTAAATAAATAAATAATTTGAAAAATATGTTCCTAAACGAGCAGAATTACTCAACTCTTAGAACTTTTGTAGCTTTTTTAGATGTATTATTTCATACCATTGAAATATAGTTACTAAAGTGAATTACTCATCTTTTAATTTTTAGTGCAATTTCAGTTTTCATTGTAGTTATAATACTGGTAATACTAATAGGTAGGTTATACCGGCGGTCGCAAAGAATCCACTTGTCCTATAATTAAAAACTCAAGGGTTAGAACCACTTAGAAGCTTTGGCAAAACTTATAATATTATTCGAGGCGAGGTCTTGAAGTTTGCCAAGATCCTCAAAAAAGAAAGCCATTAAAGTAATAAGACGGTGCAGCGGATGTGCTGGGCAGAAATAAAGCAGATGGGAGGTACTTTTATTGTCCTCACCACAACTGCGGCATGTATGATAGAAAGGGAGATTTCTAGCATGGTTATCTCTACGGAGCATCTTAATGAGAGAGTTTGATTTCTTTTTATTGTAACGTGGCCAAATTTCATACAAATGCTTGCATATCGTTAAGCAATACTAGTAACGCAAAATGAAATATGTAGCATTCGTCTTCCAATTTCTAGAAAGAAGTATATTTTTGAACAAGGCGATGAAAATAAAAAGGATTTAATGTTATATAATATGTATAATAATTTTGTGTATTTTAATTTTAATTTAATTAAAACTCTTTTTAAAAGTGTGGTTTTAAAAATTTTGCAAAAATTATTTATAAGGAGATTTTCGAAAAGTAGTGAACTAAAAAAACAAAGGTTTTTTTATATTATATTAATAAATTGAATTTTTGGCAGATCATATAGCTGTTTCGAGTATTGCCAAATACCCATTATCAGCGGTCTTGAAAATAATTCTTGTAATTCTTTCATTATTCGTAATTAATTTTTTGAGACTGCAAGTGTTACGAATCGAGTTCGTGCTCTGCCAAATTTGAAGCTCAGCGTATGCGCTCCTTAACAAACTGAGCCAAAATAATTTATTATATCAGTTATTTTATTAATTCAGTTCTACCGCCTAATATATGTGATTTAAGACATTTCAAAAATTTGATAATGGGCTTGTTTATTTCAAAAAAGCAATTCATACTCATATGATAGTGAGAGTATCTATATAATTTCAGTTGGTCAGT